CACGGTTCCGTGTCTGCATCGCCCCGGGGCTGCTTCTGCGCTACAGCAGTTGAACAGTTGCTACAGAGCCTGTACTGCCTGCCAAGCCTGAAATACTCACCCTTCGGCCCTTTTCAGAAAGTTTGCCCACCCCTGGTTCAGAGAAGGAATGGTGTCCTTCACGACGGCCACAGAGAGTGGCCCTGCTGGCGGTGATGCTGGTGCGAAGGGGAGTTTACATGTGCTCACACTGCTCTGCGGTCCCTCGTGGGGGTGGCAGGCTCCTGGCTGAGTCCCCAGGGACAATCCAGGAGGAAGGGGACATGGCAAATCCTCAAGGCTACCTGGCCCATAATGTGAAAACTAATGGGGAACTGAAAGGGGTCCTTTGGGACCGTTTGGGCCGGAATGTGGGCCTGGGCGTCAGCATCCAGAGGCCTCCTGGAAGAAAGGCAGCTGGTGTTCATCACGCAGCTCTCCTTCCAGGTGCTGAGAAGCAGAGGGGTCTACACGGCAGAGTACTAGCCCCAGAAGGAATTAATTCTGTGTGTGGTTACAGAAAACACGTATGCGCACATAGACGACGCTCCAGCCAACCAGACTGGCAACAGTGCCTCCTGGAAATAGCCTGGCCCTTCCGCTGCCTTTCAGAAACACATCCCACGGGCCCTCCCGTTGGTCCCCCGTGACAGACGGTCTCCAAGGGTGGGTACCTGAAGGGTGATGTTGAGGGGCTGGAAATGACACTGCAGATCATCCAGCTGAACGAAGTTGGCTGCGTCCACAGACTCGCCATACACAAAGGAGGTTGGGGACACGATTCTGAAAGAGGAAACCATGAAATCCGTCATCCCAACCTGTGGTCAAGCAATGCATGGTCACTCCTGTCCTGAGAACCCAAACCTCTGTCTCGGGAACCTGGCTCTCTCTAGTGTCTTTCAGCAACTGATTTCCTCCTGGAATTGTGACTTCTCTTTCCTGTACACGGACACAGCCAGGTGTATACTTTCTAAACAGACATTTCCAATAATGACCCCCCATCTTATGTCAAATCAATAAGCTACATATATAAATACGTACTGGGATTACAGTTCTCATATGAAAAGGAAGCTGGGGTAGCTCTGATTTCAGTTTATCTTAACTGGGTTATAAAATTAGACATGTTCTGATTTGTCATTTGAGAAACTTTCTGTAGAGTGAGGAAGATCATGGCAGGTTTTTAGGAAAGACAAAAGAATTCGATACTTGGCATCCCACGGAACATCCTGTGACAGATTCATTTAAAAAATTTAAATTTGTCAAACTACCAAAATTATTAGAAATTAGGTCCTAAAAGTGGAGTCCATTCAGTGATAGCATTTTTCTTCAGATTTCAAACAGTGGCTGTGTGAGCCGTGGCTAAGAACGCAGCATGCTTTCCATGTTGCCCGAATCAACAAACCTGAGATGAGAGGAAGCCCAGATTCATTTAAATTCCCAGACCAATAATGGATTCTAGATGAGATGCTAGAGGCTGCTCACTTGCCTAAACACTAACAATGTAAGATTTGGGGTACCACGTCTGAATGGACAGCAATGCATCTATTTTCAACTTAAGTGTATCGCTTTAGAAATGTAATGAGTCCCAGTATTATCAAATGGCAGGATCCGGTCCCTGTTTTGTGTCCCTGGAAAGATCAGAGGTTGACTAGTTTGTTTAACTGACGGCTTCATCAGGGGCTGTTCACACCTCACCATGAGGCCCCCTGGGGCCAGACAGCAGGATCAAGTGAGCCAGTGTTTTCTCTTTGGTCCCCAAGGACAGGGCTGGGTTCAGGGCACATTCTCACTGTGCCTCTGATGAGACAAGTAAATAAACGACACGGTTAAAAATAGAGCCATGAACAAAGGCAAATCTATGCTGATTTGCAAATATTTTCCACCAACGCCTCCTGTCTGAAGACTGTGATGAAAAATGCCAGGAGCACAGGCCTGCACATTCCCGGGCACCCAGGAGCGCGCCAGCGATCATGGTGCTGGCTCCTTCTGCGATATATTAGCATTTCTACTGCTAGCCAAGGCCAGGGCCCACCACACTTGAAAACTGAAAAATGAGAAACTGAACCTCTAGAAACTTCAGCTTGCATTTGGGGCAAGGGTTCAATGGATCCTCATTTGATCTAAACGGATTATGCAAACGCTTTCCCCCCCCATCCAAGAGGTATGTGCTGTTTTCTGAAGCCGGAAACAGGAACTTGGTTCTCAGTTTTCCAGGCCTTGGCTTTGGATGAAAACAGACACGGGTTGGTTTGGGGCCACAGCCCTGCTTTCCAGCAATGCCAGCAGCACTGAGTGGCCGAGACTTCACCTGGCAGATGGTGTGCCCGTCCGGATTGCTCCCTGTCCACTCCAGACCAGCACAGACATGGGGCAGAGCTGCTGCCAGCTCTGCAGAAGAGGTCAACAGAGTCACACAAAGACACACAGAGCCAGTGCCGCTGCGAGCCAGCCAGGGCACTGGGAGGCCTCTGGCTGCAACCTCTGGCCCAGCAGCCTTTGGTGGAGATTTTAACTCCAGGAATCAAGCTGCCTGCTACAACATGGCACTCTGGCGGGGTGGGTGCTGGGGATACATGCATATAATGGTGCACAGGATGTTCAAAGAAACGAAGGGGCTTAAATTCGCCATCAAACGCCTTGTGTTACCGACCAGGTGGGTGGGGAGCACCTGAACAGGAAGAAAGGCATGAGTCCCTGGAGCTGAAGCTTAGACCTACACGTCAGAGCTGGGGAGACTTGGAGTGGCAGCACCACTGACTCCAGGCTACACATGCAAACTCGAGAAAGGCACAGGGTCCCCTGCAGGACACCTCTGTGCCTGCCAACCCAGGCCTGGGCTACTCACCCAGTGATGGACGTGTCCACCTCGTGCACCAGCGGCACCGTCAGTGTGAGGGAGTTGTCGTGCAGGGACTCGGAGCGCTCCGTGTTGCCGCTGTACGGGGAGGGCGGGATGAATGAGCATGGGTCAGCACCAGGTCTCGGGCAGCAGCCTCCTGTGCTCCGTGCTGGAGCTCGATCTATATTCCCCAAAGCGCGGACTCTGCACCCCATTTATCCTCAGTTTTGTTTTTGGTCCCTGCACAGAGTCACAGTGGGCCCTCTATTGTCTCAGTTGTGTTCTCCTCACAAAGGGGAATTGGGAGCTGACCCCAGGAATCACCAGTCCGGAGTGGTGAAAGGAGACAGGGCAGAGGAGGAAGACAGTGAAGGCATGTGATCCAGGAGCTCAGCACTGTGGGCAGCAGGGCTGGGTCTGGCTGGGGAACTCTGGGAGCCAGTCTTCCCAACTGGGCATGGGGGCTGGGCCTTGACCCCTTGACTCCTGAGACCTGCTGCTGCTGGGGGAGGTGGGGGGAGAACCATTAATTCTCTGGCGTCTGCCCTATCACACAGGCGAGTGTGCTCGGGACAGAGAAGGCCTCAGGTAGAATGGCAGGTGCTGGGAGCTGGGAGCTGCGCAGCGATGTGTGGGGAAGGTGAGTGCTGACGGGTGATGGGTGGGCACTGATAGTGTGAGCTACTTCTAGGATGCTCATTCCATGAATAATGGTCCAGCAAGGTTAGGGCACTGCAGCCACCTCCCACCTGGAGGCATCACCCTTCTTCCAGGGACAGGCAAGCCCAGGAGAGAGGCCCTGGCCAACCCCGTCACCATAAATACCACAGAGCTCCCGCTAAGGACTTCTGGTACAGTCCATAGGCATCCCCTTTGGGGTGAGACAGCATAGGATTGGGATTCTTGTGAAGTCATCCTGGAAGGGCAAAAGCAAGGGCGCTGAAGCTGCTGAGCGGCTGCTATGCAAGAAGTTAACGACCTCGGACAGGTAAAGAGCAGGCAGGTTAGGTAACTTGCCCAGAGGACCCGTAGCAAACCGGGTCAGTCTGACTCCAAAAGCAGGGCTTTCCCACAGGGATTCCCTCTCCTGACACTAGGTTTGGAGGCTTGGGGGAGAGATGGGAAGAAAGGAGAGGAGAAAAAGGAGAGAGGAAGGGGAGGAAGAGACAGAAGACCTAGTTTCCCGTTACTATTTAATTAAATTTCAAATATGAACTGTGATGATGATTCCAGGGAAGCAACCACCTTGCTAAAAGGCGTGGCTGTTGGCTGCGTGTCACTGGACCCAGCACTTACAGTTGGTTCTACCACATGGTGTGAATATGGGATCCCAGTAGAAAGCCAAGTTCACCCTCCCGGGTGGAATATAAGTCTCCAGGACCCGCCAAGGCTCGGGCACAGCTCATCTGCACGACTCCCCATCGCACCATTCCCTGCTGCCCCTGCCCTCCCTCTGCCCACTGCTTACCCCTCCCACCCAGCAAGTGCCCAATGCAACAACACTTAAATAGCCTCACATCCCCTCTCCTCTCTCCTATTGTTCTGAAACAATGGCGCTCTGTGACCCTGACCCCACTCCTCAGCTGTCTTCCGCATATGGGGTGACACCCACGCTCAGAGGGCGGCTGCCGTTTGCAGAAGCAGCAGGGTCAGGTGCCCACCTGGCCTGGCTTCCTCGCTGGTCCTTCCCCAGGGGGCAGTGAAGGCCAGAGCAGACGCGATGGCACCCCAGGGCCTGCTCCCTTCCCCCAGCATCCTGCCAGGCCTGCGGAATGGGCTCCGGATGGAAGCGCCGCCCCTTGCCCTGCCATTTGTCCAGCCACCTCTGGCCGCTGGCAGCTCAGGCCCAACAGTGTGGTCTGTCATCAGGTGACTGCTCCAGACTGAGCTAAGTTGAAAAGTTGAGATAAAGAGGCCAGACATCAAAAGGCTTCCCGTCATCCTGCAGGCGCGTGACGGGGGACGCTTCCCCGAGGTCGAGGCCCGCAAAGCCCGCTGCTGAGGGGGGCTCTTGAGAAACTGTTTGCTCTCAGCATTCTGCCCTCCCACATCCACACGTGGGCAAGAGGTCTTCAAAGGGTGGTGACGGGAACAAAGGCAGGGTCGCTAGCTTTCAAGATAAGGAGCTTTAAGGAACTTTCCATCACAGCAGGAAGTCGAGTGCTGTGGGTGCCCTCGGGGGCAGTGACACCAGATCCTCACCGAAGTCTGGAAAGAAGCGAGTGCCTGAAATACTCTGCTGTGCACGCAACAGATAATACAGCTTCCTTAACATCTGTGATCCAAAGAATTAGGAGATCTGATATTTCATAGTTAAGCTACCAATGCTAGGGGTTCCCTGATACTATCAGAAAGAGATGTTCTTGAATTTAGTAAGTTATTAGCATTTTCTTATGTGCCCGGTACTGTATTTGGTAAACAGTAGGTGCTTAATAGATGTGAAAACAACATTAAAAGGTAGTGGGAGATGAAAATAAAGCTTCGTTACGTCTACACCCCATGAGTACTGCCGCTGTCCACGGCTGTGTTTTACCTGCTGTGGCCTGACCCTGGCTTCCCACAGGCCCTAAGCAGCTAAGATGAAGACTGAGGCCTGAGGGCAAAGCCTAAGATTAGTGAGACTGGATGATACTGAAAGATTCAGGACTTCAGAATAATCTAAGTCTAACCTTTGGGTAACTGTTTTTGAGAAAATTCAAGAATGGCTCAGAAGGTGAGGGTGATGGGATGTTAAGATGAAAACTCTGGCTGAGGCATCCTAGAAGCCAAAATTCAGAGAAAAGCACTAAGCCAGGATTTACTACGCCTGGCAGCAAACATCCAAGATATGACGTCAAGGACATAACGGAGCTGAGAAAGGGAGATTTCTGCAGACAGTTTTAGGAGAAAACTGGGATGAGGGGAGGATGTCTGCCTTTTAACTCAAGCTTCAGGAAACCTGATCAAACAGTGTGGTTGCTGCCCAAGAAATGGAAGGGAAGGGGCTGCTGGCTTTCCCTCTGATGGCAGAGTGAAAGAGAGGTGGCCTCCCAAGGGTCACCTGCATCTCCAGAGACTGGGCAAAGATTGCTACATGGGGTCTATATGGGGTCCCCTTTTGCCCTGTCCTGGAGGACACAGTCTCAGCAGCAGAAGCTGAAGGTACCTCTGGCTACCTGCAGGCTGAGGCTGGAAACGGTTTTCCCTTTTCTAGAGGGCAAGAGTCAGCTTTGAATCTCTGCACAGCCCAGCGAGTGCTCACAGCAGTACATGTTAACCTTACCTCCCCTGGTCCACACCCCTGTTGTAAGCCTGGAGGGCTCCCGAAACTGCTCAGGAGAAGGGGAGAGGCCAGTAAGAACAAGATCACTCCTCCAAGGCAAGTTTTCCTTGGACACTGTAATTATGGATTTGTGAACTTGCTTTGAGACTCAAAGTGACTGTAGGACTTTGCATCACCCAAGAGTACCTTGATAATGCACAGGACCGGCCTAGATGTCCTCCAAGGACAGGGAAAGAGAGATGGGGTAGCCATGTAAGCAGAACTAGACAAGCACCATCCCTGAGAGATCTGATTCCACCAGTGCTTTGGGGCTTTATCACTGAATAACCGCTTCTTCCTCCTCAGCATCCTGGACATCATCACAGCATGACCAGGCCATGTCTTTTTGGGTCCCAGCAATTCTTTATCTTCAGGGGGAGGGAAAAAGTAAATCCTTCTTACCTCTGAGCAGTAATGATGAAGCTGAGAACTTCCTCTTCCCCAGACAGATGGCTTGTATCAAAGATCACACTGAATTCATACTAGAAGAAAGAAAGTGACATTTGGCATCAGCAGGCATTCCAAATTAAACTGTTAGCTACAATCTTCCCCAGCTTATGACCCCTGGAAACTCATTTGTATGATAAGCTTTATTTTTAAAAAATGTTTTTATTGATTTTAGAAAGAGAGGGAGAGAGAGAGACAACAATGAGAGAGAGAAACGTCGATGGCTTCCCAGTCACACCCTGACTGGGAATGGAACCCCAAACCCAGGCACGCACCCTGACCGAGAATTGAACCGGTGAACTTTCAGTGCATTGGGTGACGCTCAACCAACTGAGCCACACTGGCCAGGGACACAGCTTGATTGTCAAGCCAGAGACACAGCTTTAACAGTAAAGTCCCCCCGCCAAGAGGCACACTAGCCTTTTCAACAACTGAGGTTCTCTTTAGGAAGCAATATGTTTGTTCTTAAACCAGGACTTTCTAAATTTGGCTCACACACAATCTTCCCAATTTTTGGCCGCATCTGCATACCATATCGCCTGTGACATTTACTTCATATTTTTATTGCCTCGACTCTTTTTATTTAAGGACTATTTTGAAAGGAAAATGTACACCACTATCACCGATGGGAATCCAGGATCACTTGCCATAAAAAGAAGGTAGTTATCAAAATAGGTATAATGAAAACAAAGCGACACTGAATCTTGCTGCTTGCTGAAAGCTCTGAGTCTAAGGTCTCCTCTCTTTCGGTAAGAGGGAGATTAACAAGTGACAGGGAGGCGCTAAAGATATGCTACACTGTTGTAGGCCTTATCCTGCGTGTGGTTAGAATGGAAAGAGTATTGAAAAGTTAATAACTTTCTCACTGTAAGAATCAATGTTGGTTAGTGCCATGTCCACATATCACCTAAAATCATCTCAGAAAACTACCTAAAATCAGGTACCCCCAGTGGTAAACATGCTGTGATTTGGGGAACACTGCTCTAAGCAAATGTTTTTCAACCATATACATATGTATATGTGTATACATGTAAATATAGATACATATTTATCAGGCACGTGTAGGAACGTGGGGGGAACCCTTGGGTAGGGCTTACAGACTGGGCTCTACCACAAACTTGGCTATGTGATCTTCCCCAAGACACTTAATGTCTTTGCATTTCAATAAAAAGAAGAGGGTGGACAAAATGATTCTTAAATTCCATCAAGCTCTTAGAGTCTATGACTTATTTAATATCTAAATATTTGGGTTCCTTTATGACTAATTCTAGGCCATGGTCTAACTTGGCAAGACTGGAATCTACTGAACTGAGTGCTGCCTGAAAGGAATGAACAAAAAACCATGATGACACTGAAGCATCATCTACAGTGGCCATTGGATGTCCCTTTCTAGACAAAAATTTCTGTTGCCGTGGGACTTGTCAGCTTACAGTGAGGGTGGGGCATGGAGACAGGCTAGGAAGCAAAGCTGGAAGACACAAAGGAAGGGAAAGTCAAGGGTCTTGTCCCAGCAAAGAGTCAGAACTGGCAGAAGATCTGAATTAAACACACTAGAGATCAAGGTGAGGGGAGACGCAAAAGATGTGGGCAAGAAGCCAAAACCGGAGACGGAGGCCTGGGGAGCAGAAGGTCAGAAGCCTAGAGCTCACCAGGGTAGTGTAGTCATGAGGCTCAGCAGGTGGTCTGGAGCCTAATGACCCACGGGGCCTGAGGAAAGTGGGGGCAAGCCAGGCTGTGGACAGAGGGAGCCCATCCCTGCCACGTCACTTCTGAGCTCTCTCCAGGGGATTTGTCCCCAGACCCGCTATCTCCACGTTTAGCTAAGACCTCTTGCTACAGCTCTTAACCTCTGTATGTGGGAGGAAGGTCGCAGCATTACCAGGTAGGAAAAAAATTCAATATTCCAGCATTCATACGTCTGTTGGCTTTATGACAATTTTGAAAGTTAATGATTCTGACAAACTTTAATGCCCCAGATTTCAACATCACCTGGTTTTCACAGCACTCATTCTTATGATGACCTTCTCTTTACGGCAAGTGATCCTGGGTCTACTTGTGACGGTGATATAAATTCTCCTTTTAAAATAATCTTTAACTAAAACTAGTAAGGTACACTTGAAGTCTGATTTGGGATGAAGACTGAATTTCATAACAAAATGGCAACTGTGAAAAATTTTCAATTAAGTCTATTTTCTGTTGCTCAGCCTTCTCCTGGGATGAATGTGGGCAGATGAGAGAAACAGAGCCAGAAAAATGCTCAAGAATCACAAATGTAAGGGCCACAGTAGTTTGGAGCAGGTACAGTCAATGAGGCTGACAGGTTCAAGTGATTTTTTTTATATTACAGATGTCCCCTTTTTACCCCCATTGATCCCCTTCACCCCACATCCA